GTCCAAGCCTGCAAGCATAGTGCGAGCTAAGTATACAGGAGGTGAGAAACAGAAGCGCTTGCTAGCATACATAAGTATATGGTTGTGAAATGACTCAAGCTCGGAAGTAGACCTGTGGACATAAAGGAAAGAATGCATTGTATTTCAGGTTGTTGATATGCAATCTCAGAACATATAATGGCAACACAGTGAAATGTCCATGAACTATCTGCATAGGGCAAAGTCAGTAGTGCATAGAACTTTACTGTCAAACCTGAAATGTAGGTATTTGTGCACATTCTTCAACCATCGTGCATCCAGAATTAAGCGTGTGAGAGTCTGATGTGCCTTGGAGCCTTTTTCAAACCACTGTTTGTCTCTCTGCTCAACCAAGGGACCATGGTCACATGATCCCAGGGCCCATGCATGTTCTCCTGCGACATGGTGCAGGAGTCCAACCCATTTGTCCTAAAGTGAACTGGTTACAATTACTGTGACATTTCTTTAATAACACTGAACCGACAGTTTGTTCAAAGTACAATACACAAAAAACTCACAAGATGAAATTATATACTTTTGAGGTCTAGGCAACACTTACAAAGAAATCATCATATGTGTCTGCCACCTTGCAGCAATACCAAAATTGGTTGAATATGTCCTTGTTCCAATGTAATAAAATATTGCAGTCCTTTTGCTGCCCTGCCTGCACATAATTCATTATTAAATTAAGCTGTGTGTAACATTTCATAGCTTGTACCCATTGTCAATTTATATATTTTTATTTAGGTTATGAAACATATAATGTTTTATTATAAAACGTACATATAGACCTACCGCAAGGATTTTTTTACTCAAGCTTTTAGCTCCATGCCAGATGTCGAGTGTGTGTTGTACACCACTGTCTTTGTATTTCCCCTTGTCTGTTGGATAAATTGAAAAAATAGAATGTATAAATTTTACTTGACACATTTTCAGATGTTACTCCATGCTTGTTTTTGGGTTAGTGTCAACCACAAACAAAGCAAAACTCATTGTCCATGGCCGTGTATGTGCAGTACTGTGCACAGAATCCTGGACTGTCCATCCTAGCATCTCCTACAAATGTAGATGACAATAATTAGGTAAAAGCATGACATGTCCTACCTATATATTCTAAGGGGGAAAAAAGCGGCAGCACTACCGACTGACAATGTATCACAAACGTTTTATCAGTGATAACACTTCCAATTATTTTCTAGTATTACTCTCTTATATGTGAAAGTGTTTGTGTGTGGCCAACTGCTTCAGACAATCATGGTACACTATGGATGCCGAATGGCCAATTGCATCCTCCACAACCTGGACCTTAATAGAGTCTTTGGTTGGAGGCATCTCAGTGGTCGATGGATTGTGGGAATGTAAGACATCGTGCACCGTGTCCTCCATGCTGATTGCTGGAATATCTTCTAAGTTAACGGCCGTCTTTGAAGCACCCCTTGACCATTAATAATTACATTATAAACATTAATAAAATACAGAATTAGCAGTACCTTTATGTCTACCAACCATTTAGTCTTTAAACTTACCGAACACAGATACGTGGACTGTAGTCATCATCACTGTCATCAGAGTCTGAGTCTACTTCTTTGGTGTCATATTCTTCTAAAGATGACACCGACTCGGTCTCAAAATCTGGACGCCATGTTTCATCTTCCTAGTCAATACTATTTAATACAGAATAAATACAAACTAAATGTAAAACTACCACTCAGACAATATATGTGTTCATACATGATAATTATCGTCAGTTAGGTCAGTACAGCCACTTACGTAGTATTTTGAATGTCATTGAACTCATCCGCAACATCTTTTTCAAGTACATATTCACTACACGGAGTGAAAAGAAATACGATTTGAAAAATTACACATATATAAAATAATCATTTTAATAATAATAATTAATAATTAAATTACAACCTTAGATACCCACTTACAGATGTAATAACCTCTGATCGATGTATACTACTCTACATTTGAAGTGGATGAAAACCTTTATTCAAAGTTTACGTAAAACCAAAGTGTTCTTATCTTAGGCCAACTTATATTAACTTTTTTGATCCACTTCAAATCTTGACTACTGTACGTGCATAGTTTTGTTTGTAATTTTGGCATAGGTCGATCATGCAAATCTGATAACAGTATAAAGCTAGGATGTGTTTGGTACACCCAGTAAAAAAAATGCTAATTAAATTATTGTCTTGCTAATTTGGTAAGTAAGAAAACATTAAAAGACTTTCTGTCAGGATGGGCCCCAAACAATATAACTATTTATACACCGCGCTTGGCACGTGCATTACTTACAATTGGTAAACACAATTATGGTACCTTTGTGCTATATCTTGACTACCGGCCACTTCAGAGTCAGTGCTTTCCAACTGCTGAACTCCAGCTATATTGAAATCAGCCTCACTGTTAGAACAAGACATATATATGAATATATTCAAGCACCTCACATCTCAGATTTGTGAAAGTGAACATGTACAGTAATAAGTTTGTAAACTGAGTCATCAGGCACAGAAAACATAAAAGAAAAATAATGGGTTTGGTCTGCCTTTTGCTGAACACAAATGGATATGTTGGACTTTTCAAAGCGACGTTGAGGGTATTTCCATTTAAGTGTGAAACATGACGTTTTACTCACAGTTTGTAGGAAGTCTCAGAAGCAATTGTCGACACATCTGGTGGTGGTGGCTTTACGTGTCCATGCACCAGCAGTGTTGATGTTGTAGTTTTCTCGTAACTTTGTAAACATAAACATAGTTACCCGATTACACGATGCTGCTGTAGTTGAGCTAAGTCGTCAAGGTACACAAACTAAGCTATGCGTTATATCAAAACACACCAAAATCGAATCACTCCATATACCTAACTTACCATTCCAAAAGAAATACTGCAACCATGGCATCATCATTCAGACCCTTTGACTCCCGTAGTTGTCTCCAGCGTGGAAAAGCAACACCGATATTAACTCGGGTTTTTGCTCTGTTTTCATCCAGCCTTTTTTTCGCTGTTTTCAAAGACTGTTTTGACTTTTGGTGGATACCTGTAACTCTCTTTGCAGAACACCCAATCCCTGTTCCCTGCATCTCCCTCCTGCATAATCTGTTTTTCTTTTTCTCCTTGTAGCTGGAAATCAGCTCACAGACAATTTGCGGGCTGTATATATATTTTTAAATAATTCCAGACAGTCTAGCTCGAGAACTGATGGAGTTCAGAGTTAGATGAAATCAACTGAAATAAAAGACATTAAATCTCCCAAGATCTCAGGAGATAAGCATTTGCTTTAGTTGGGCTCTTGACCCTTGACTTTCTAACATTAGTGTTTCTCTGGTTGCTGTAACTGTGTTTATGAAACCACCAAGAGAAAATATGATCAGGTTACGTTGGCTGTTTTTTGGTACTGTTGTAGTTGTCATGCTTCCACTCTAAAAGAAGCTGGGTTAAAAAGGGACAAACCCAGCTATTGGGTTGTTTTGAACCAGCGGTTGGGTTGTTTTGAACCCATGGATTAGTTATATTTAACCCAGCATATAATACAGTATACAGTGGGTACGGAAAGTATTCAGACCCCCTTAAATTTTTCACTCTTTGTTATATTGCAGCCATTTGCTAAAATCATTTAAGTAATTTTTTTTCCTCAATGTACACACAGCACCCCATATTGACAGAAAAACACAGAATTGTTGACATTTTTGCAGATTTATTAAAAAAGAAAAACTGAAATAATCACATGGTCCTAAGTATTCAGACCCTTTGCTCAGTATTTAGTAGAAGCACCCTTTTGATCTAATACAGCCATGAGTCTTTTTGGGAAAGATGCAACAAGTTTTTCACACCTGGATT